TGGAAGGGGGGGTTTGAGAGTTTAATTGTGAATGCAAAAATTGCAGTTATGATGGAGGATTCAAGAATGCGTGGGAACATGAGGGAGATGAATCTTGCTTCGAGAAGGGCTGAAGAAGCTGGTATGCTTTGTTTCTTAATTCTCTTTACCAAAGATTGTATATTTGTTTGTTGCCTTGTTTGATTTATCTCTCAGTTGTTTCAAAGATGCATGCATGGCATTTTTTTATTTTAATTTTGATATTGGAATGTGGGGTTTGTGTTATGTTCTTTTTATCTGTAGTCAATCTGGGACGTCGTTTTCATTGTTCCCTGAAAATAAAAAATGTATTTTTACTGGGTCCGGTGAGATCAGTTTAAAAAATGATAGAACATTTATTGATTATGTTGAGTTATCTAAAGTCTTACCTTGTTGTGTCTGGTATCTAAATGCTCTTTACCAAAGAGTAGAAATTGCCATTTTTTTGCTTTATGTGAATTCTTGATTAGAATATTTGAGATCCAGTGGAATTTGAGGGCTAATTAAGTGTTGTGGTATATACTTTGATGGGAACTTCTTAAAGCTTTGAGAAGATATCAAGCTGTCCATTGGCTTGATTACCTTGTGGGCCCACTCGGAATCCCGAGCCAGACGACTGAAAAACAGTTCATTTCTTGCCTGAGAAATGGGTTGATCCTCTGCAATGTAATCAACAAAATTCAACCTGGTTCAGTTCCAAAGGTATCTATTCTCTCCATTTATGTTTATTTCACCCATGGCCTAGTTCTTGAGGATTTGAAGAATTTTGATTTCTGATTTTTTTAGTTGAATAAATATGAATCAGGTCATAGAAAAAACTTCGGCTTCACCAGCACTCTTGTGGGATTCCCAGCCATTGCCGGCTTATCAATATTTTGAGAATGTCAGGAACTTTCTAGTGGCCGTTCAAGAATTGAAGCTTCCTAATTTTGAGGCTTCTGTTTTTGAGAGGGTAAGAAAAGAAAGTGACCCTTTTTTGCTTCATCAGTTAAAATGCATGTGAGTACCAAAATCCAACATTTTAATGTTGTGTGGTTAGGAAAATCTCCAAGCAGGGTCATCAACCAAAGTTGTTGATTGCATTTTGGCACTGAAGGATTATTATGAGTGGAAACAAATGACTGGTGGCAATGGATATTACAAACCGCCCAGATCCCCTCATGTTGTGCATTCAGCTGGTAGAGTCAATGCTCGGGCTCCAGAATTTGTTTCTTGTGATAGTGCCAGAAAATTAGATATGTCGAAATGTGTCAACAAACCAATGCCATCAGAAATCGATCTCAGAAAGCTTGAAGGTAATTGGTTTTGCTCGTTTTCTGTTTTTACTTATGCCCATCGGATAATATAACATCTGTAGAAACTAATTGTTCCAGCATCTGAGCGAGTTCGGTTTTTCAATTGATCCAATTTTTTTTATATCGCAATCGTTTGCTTCAATGTTAATTTATTGATATTTATCAGAATTTTCCATTGAGGCTCTGCCAACTCTGGCTAAAGTTAACGAGATCTTTTATTAAAATATTACTAGATTGTTGTATTATACTCTTGTTGGTTTTTTCACTTAATAGGGGGAGTATTTTTCATTTGATTGTGGATATATTAATATTTCAGTTTTCCTGTTTAGTGTTAGGCATGTCTTTGGACTTCCATGCTTATGTTAGTAATTTATCCTCTAATAACTTAATTGTCGAAATCTACAGATAAAATTGACAAAGCACTGGCTCAGCATATGACTGACACTAAGGAGAACATGGATGGTAATCAAGTTGCTGCTTATCATAGTGGAAATGCGGTGTGTGCACAGCTTCATGTTTTGATCTTTGTTTCCTGTAAATGGTTTAAGTTCAGAGTTTTCTTACGAATTTTTTCCCTTTTATAACAGGATTCACTGAATCTTTTCAGCAAGATTCTCTCAACTTGCCTAGAGGAACAATTTCGAGCAACATTTCCCGAGGTAGGAAATATTTCCTTTGGAAGGAGCTTATCATAATAAAAGGGTACATTTCGTGCCGCATCATTGTTGAATTGAATTGAGTAATGTAAAGAAGTTTTGCGGACTTGGTGACTTTTGTAAAGTTGCCAAATCTTTAGTTGAATATACCTTCTTGTACATCAATTATTTGTAGTTGACATTCAATTGTGACAGATGCATTATCTTTGTGTCTGCAAACAGATGAAGTCAAGTATTCTGGATTATTTGAAACAAAGAAGTTGCTCAACTGTGCATCCCACTTCAAAGCCTATTGAAGATTTGTCCAATCTGAAAAACCGCAAGGTATTTTTGTTAAGAGAATTCTGTTTGACTTCTTTCAACAACATTAGTTTCTATTATCACACACCATTTTGCACATGGAGACTTGCAATTGTTCAAGTTCCTTTGTGGGTCATTGGGAGATGGTTTATGTGTGAAACATTTATATTTGTTAATACATGACAAAGGGATCTTATATTTATCTTTATCAGTTTATTTTACTTATACGTTTACTAAATATCTTGGCGTGTCAACTCGTTTTATTGAAGTTTTTCATCACTTTGAGGTTGATATGATCTGTACTTCGACAAACAGAGATTTTACGTAAATATGTGTAATACTTCTTCTTCCTATTTATTATAATAAAATGGATAACATTATCTGGTAATAGTGTTGCAGAGCTTGCTTGAGGAAGGGTAACTGCAACCACTGGAGTCTAGTTGAGCAACAAGAAAAAGAGCTCTCTGTAAGCTTTTGTTAGCTTATTTATTTGCCTCAATCTTTTGTAGCTCATTGTGATTAACGTTTAATTTTACAATATGTGACATCTCAAGTGTTCTTTATTTCATATCCAGCACTTGAACTGCTTGCAATAGGTTGTTTCTTGCACTAGGCACGTGTGAATCTGCAATTACAAACATATGGGAAATTTTTTGACATCTTTTCTTTTCTTAATTTGCCTGTGAATTGAAAAAAAAAAATGGGAAATTCAGAAACCTCTTGGTTTGTGTGTTTGAAACGATATTTCATTGCAGAATATCAAGCTGTTGTTATCAAGTACAAAGCAAGACGTTGAGAGTCTCCAGTTACAGATTCAAAATGACTTTAAAGAACTTGGTACTTTTCTATCCGAACAACCTAGTATTTCATCAATCTATAAGCTTGTAATTGGATAACAGAATGTGATGATAGCAAAGGTTAAAGGTATTGGAGGGCGATTGTGCTCTATCTGTCATCTCTATTTTTGCAACAGAATGCTTGAAAAATTAAACTTTTATTCAACTTAAAGGATATGAGCTGTTTGTTTATTTCAGGAGAACAAGTGCTTGAGATGTCTAATGCTGCTCTTGGTTATCACAATGCCGTTAAAGAGAATAGGAATCTTTACAACATGGTTCAAGATCTGAAAGGTTAGTCAAGCTTTACATGTGTATATTCCGCTATGCTATATTTGCCGAAGTGATTCACATGTTTTATGTCTCAGGTAAGTAATTTGTTTTTCTTATGTCTTTCTTAATGTAAATTTCACCAAAATCTAAAACTTGACCGCGCAATAAAAACATATGGAAGTTCATAGCAAAAGTATACAAAGAAAGAGAGCGATTAAGTCAGAAATCTAAAACTAGGGCTCACATCCTTCTGATAAATGTTTCTATGTTCTTGCCATTATTGAAAGAATTTTATGGTGAGACTGTCTGTTTAATCTTTTTTCAGGAAATATTCGGGTTTACTGCAGGATTAGACCAGCCCATGATTCCAAAGTGCAAAATGTTATTGATTTTATTGGAAACGATGGGTCTCTAGTGGTTGTAGATCCAAAACCTATTAAAGATGGAAAGAAAATATTCCAATTTAATCATGTGTTTGGTCCATCAGCTAGTCAAGGTAATATGGCACCAACTTATAAGTCAAGAGAGCTATAATTTTTCAGTTCTTTTGTTTGCTAATTTGGACCTAATCTTTCAGCTGAGGTTTTTAGAGACACTCAGCCCCTTGTTAGATCCGTATTGGACGGTTACAATGTTTGCATATTCGCTTACGGTCAAACCGGGTCAGGAAAAACACATACCATGGTGAGTATATTTTTAGTTATATATTTTCTGCCAATTCATAGTTTTCTTTCTTTATAAGTTTTCTTTTTATGTTTTGGTCTTACATATAATCATTTCTTCTCTCTTGACAGTATGGTCCTCCGTGTGGATCAACCGAGCAGATGGGAATCAGTTATTTGGCTCTTACCGATCTTTTCGAACTGTCGGACCAAAGAAAGGACGTCACAAAGTATGAAATTCAAGTGCAGATGGTTGAGATTTACAACGAGCAAATTCACGATCTTCTTGCCAAGGACTCGGGCTCCAAAAAATATCCTTTCTGCATTTTGAGACATTCTCAACAGCTTAATTTCAAGTAAAAAATGCACTGCAATTTCTTGTTTGCTTTAACTAATTAATAAATTAGAGATCCGCAGTTGTGTGAGCGAGAACAGCAGCTTGGTTCTCCCAGATGCTACACTTTGTCCTGTTAAGTCAGCAAATGATGTCATAAAGTTAATGAAACTCGGTGAAGTAAATCGTGCAGTTGGCTCGACAGCAATTAATGTTAGAAGCAGCCGTTCACACAGGTCAAATTTTAAGTTTCTCATATTTAGTTTTTTTTATAATAGCCGAGAATTAAATTTATATTATTATTTGTTTGTTTTCATGTGTGCAGTGTACTGTCTGTGCATGTGCATGGGGAAGATGCTTCCGGAAGCTTGATCCACAGTTGCCTCCATCTGGTGGATTTAGCTGGCAGCGAGCGTGTGGATAAGTCAGAAGTGACGGGTGATGGGCTTCGAGAGGCACAGCATATAAACAAATCTCTTTCTTGTTTGGTCGATGTTATAACGGCTTTGGCCCAAAAGAACTCTCATATTCCCTACCGAAACAGCAAGCTCACTCTACTTCTCCAGAACTCCTTGGGTACTTTACCATTTGTGAATGTGTTTATTTCAAACTATTTATTTCAAATTCATATGCAAGAAGAATGAACTACTACAGGGAACCACTGCTAAAAAACAAGAATTTGTTGACTTAACATCTGCTAATTGTAGTTTTGAGTTGTTTTTTTTTTTAGGAGGAAGTGCAAAAACGTTGATGTTCGCTCATGTGAGCCCGGAAGGCGATTCTTTTGGAGAGACAATGAGCACTTTAAAGTTTGCTCAAAGAGTTTCTACTGTGGAACTCGGTGCAGCTCGTGCGAATAAGGAAAGCAGTGAGGTTTTAGAGCTCAAAGCAGAGGTATATATCATATATGGACTTCTTCTTCTTGGTTACATGCTATTTAAGTTAAAACATCTTCATTCTTTTTATTTTTATTTTTTATTTTTTTTCCCTTTTTTTTTTTCACAGATAGAGAACCTTAAAAAGGCCTTAGCTGACCGTGACATCGTGACACCCCCAACGAAAAGATTCAAAGAGGCAGCTAAAACACCTCCAAAATCGAGAAGGTCAAGCATCGAGAAGGTGACCCCACCAAAGTCCACAAGAAGGCTGAGCATTGAATATGGGGCCAAAACCCCCTCAGTCTTCCCACCAAGGCCCAACAGAAGGCTGAGCATCGAGTCGAGTGGGCCCGAACAAGAAACCTCCCGACCCGCAAAAGCCCGATCACGAAGGTTGAGCCTCGAGGGCCCGAAAAACGAGCTAGTGAACTGTTCTGACCAACAGCAGGTGGGTTTTCGGTCGCAAAAGAATAATCCCTGTCAGCTCGGGTACAGAGTGGGCCGGGCCCCTTTGAGCCCGTTAAGCTCTTCTTCAGTCACCAAAACACCGGTCGAAAAAATTGATACAGCCACAATGAAGGTTAGAACACCCGAGCCACAGTTGTTAAAACCGGAAATGCAAACGCCTTGCTCGACGACTCACAAAAAAGGTTCTCAATTGAGAAAATCACTTCGGACGATTGGCAAGTTGATCAATGGTTCGGAAAAGAGGAACCAACAAAAACCAACTGAAATAATGTTGCCAGGTGGTAGTGTGGGCCCAAAATCTGCGATATCATCGAATGCAAGGGCCGTGAGGAGACAGTCGTTGACAGGCGTACAACAACCTACTTCTCGGCGGTCTTCACTTGGAGGGGTCTCGACTGACTCTTGTGAGTGCCAAAAAGGAAAAAAAAAAAAAAAGAAAAAAAAAATGGAAAAATGGAAGGACATTAGAAACTCATGCATTAATATTATGATATTGTGAACTTGGATTATTATGATAACACACATTTATCTAAGCTTTTTATTTATTGTGCAGATGACAATGGAAATAGAAATGCTGGGACAACACCTCCTCAGGTTCGGGCCTCGACAAAGCTCACAAAACGTTGGATTTAGGATGATGACTTTTTAGTTAGGCTTACTTGAAACATGTTGATGTTCTTCTTTTTCTTTATCGGGTACTTCGACTTGAAGCGCCCAACGAGAGAGGTAAAACGAGTTCTTTATTTTGTTGATTGATACATGGAGATCGGCTATACGAAGTGTTATTTTAATGGAAAACAGTATTTCAATCTTTAGAATAACAATTTTCTACATTTTATTCCTTTTGATTATGAACTAGTAAATGATTCTATGCTCCTTGCCTCCTTCCTAGCAAGCCTCTTAATTCTGCACATCACTGAACAGTGAGCACAGTGTGCAAGTTGTTTTTGAATTTCTTTTTTTTTTTAATTTATTTTTTATCTCAAAAAAAGAATATGTGACAGCTGATTTTTTTTTTATTTTAATTATATATGTATTAGAGTAATCTAGGACTCAATATTTGATTTAATATATTAAAATTAAATATAATAGCTTCATGTCAATAGATTTAACTTTTAAGAGACATGTGGGTTGAATTGTGTTCTTGTACAAATCCACACTTGATAGATGCTCATGCCCATCAACAGGACTGTTTGAAAACTGGAATTTAAATTAAATGACTTCCTGACCATGTGACTATTGCAACTCAAAATGACCAATTAGGTGTCACAGGTTAATTTTTATATCAAAATTGATTTTTTTGTCCTAAAGGAGAAATAAATTAGTGATTGGATGTAGAAATTTAGTCAGCAATGTTGAATTTAGCCATTAAAAGTTGTCTGTATATCTGATTCAGTTTTAAATTGGTCAAACATATCCGTTCACAGATATGGCTGCTGGAATGTGAAGTCATGTGCAGGCAAAGGAACAAATGAGCACTCATAAATTTTACCAACCTTTAAAAGAAAATATTCTAATAAGTTACCTGCATTAATATAAAGCAGATTTCACTAGATAGTGCCCAACAAACACTGAGCTGAGATTTCGTTGAATAGTTGTTCTCCAAGTACCAAACTTGATGTTTATATTGATGGGGACGAGATTAGAATGATCTTGGTCATTTAGCATCAGTGGTTTAATTGTTTATTTAATTTGTTTTATTTATTTATTTCTTTTGTTTTAATATTTATTAAGACTATCTTAAATTTATTAGGAAACTTATTTATTTTATTAGAGTTATGTACTTGTTGGGCGAGATATTTGCCTAGAGTTGTCCAATCACAAGACAATTCGAACGGGCCCGAAAAATCGGGCAAGACAAGAACAGGAGTCGAGGTCAACCTACGCTTAAGAAGAGAAAAAGCGCCAGTGGCCTCCACAGAAAGGCAACTCCGCGCAAAAGTCTTGCTAGTAAGACAATCCATAATAGGTGTCATGATGGAATTGTAATGGGATATAAAACGCCAGTGAAAGGAAGCGAGACCATGGAAGCTGCGCGTCTCAGTTAACGAGGTGGGCGTCGGTCAATCCCAAATCGCCGTCACCTTGCTGTCGTTCACACGAACTCCGTCCGCCGAAATCACAAAACCAAGAAACTAGACGGAGTCTACAAAAAAGAAGCACTTCTTTGAGGCTGCATAAAACACCTCGGCGCGTAAGATGAGAAGCACCGAGCGAACATGAACCAAATGCTCCTCAACCGAGCGATTGTAGATAAGGATGTCATCAAAGTAGACGACACATACTTCCCAATGAGATCGCGCAACTCCTGGTTCATAACGCGCATAAACATGTTGGGTGCGTTGGACAATCCGAAGGGCATCACTAAGGCTGCAAACGAGCCGAGTCGAGTCGAGCATTGGCCTTATCGAGCATGATTGAAATTTTTTTCTGAGCTGCTCGAGCTCGTCGAGCTCGATTTTTTAGGCTCGAGCTCGACTCGATAAGAAAATATAATACCGAGCTCGAGCTCGACTCGAATTCAAAATGCTCGAGCTCGGCTCGAGTTCGGTTCGAAAATTTTCAAACAATTTTGTCAAATTATATATATAGAAGGGGTATTTTAGTAATTTACCATATATCTCGAGCCGCTCAACAATGTAAAATTTGGGCTCGAGCTCGACTCGAGTTCGTGCTCGAGCCGCTCGAGCTCGACTCGAGTTCGGTCAAACTCGAGCTCGAGCCGAACTTTGACTCGAGCGCTCGCGAGTCGCTCGACTCGTGTGCAGCCCTAGGCATCACCAACCACTCAAAGAGCCCCTCGTGAATCTTAAACGTCGTCTTCCATTCATCACCCGGCCGAATGCGAATTTGATGATAGCCACTGCAAAGGTCCAACTTGGTAAACACGGAAGCCCCGTGCAGCTGATCTAGTAAGTCATCTAAGAGAAATAGAAAATCGCTAGCGCATCGTAATCTTGTTGATAGCGTGACTATCCACACACATGCACCACGAACTATCTTTTTTAGGAATAAGCAAAGCAAACACAGCGCAAGGACTCAAGCTCTGTTGGACCACCCCACGCTGTAACAATTCCTCCATCTGTCAACGTAGCTCCTCATGCTCCGCCGGGCTTATCCAGTAGTGCGAACCATTAGGTAGAGAAGCACTCGGCACCAGGTCAATATGATGATGTATATCCTTCAATGGCAAACCACCCAACAAATCCTCCAGAAAGACATCCGCAAATAGACATGGCCACGGGACGACCCGGCACGGACCCGGCCCGGTCAAACCCGTTGACCACGGGTCCGAGCCCGGACCGAATTTTCGACGGGCAGTTTCAAGGTCATATGGTGACACTGATAATAAAGCGCAAACCTGCCCGCCAGTGTGCAAATCGACTCAAATATATGATGACGCTGAATGGCATCGTCGAACGACGAACGCAGAGACAAACAAGAACATCGAATAACAAGTGTCGGACCGACGTCGCCAGGCACGTGTTCCTCCTCCAAAGATGGTTCCTCGTCGAAAATCGGTGGACCCGCGTACTTGGGTGAATCAGGCACATCCGCGAAAGGCATGTGAGTCGCCCGCCTTCAGACAAGCCGCCTGGCGGTGTCCAGGCTCGCCGCACGTGAAGCCGCACAGCAACCGCCTGCTTGTGCGCCCACAACCGGCACGACACCTGCTGTCGCTGCTAAAGTTTAGGGTACTCGAGCTCAAGCATAGGATTCTCGACTCGTTTATCACTATTAACGAGCGAGCCTTATTGAGCCGATCTCGAGTTCTAACGAACCGAACTATAGAAAATTATATATAGGTTTGCTTTTCGAGNATAAAGCTCCATTCTTGTCAACTTATACACACAAAGCATTTGTTTTTCCTCTTCCTCACCGTCCTTGTGACCAAAAATTGTTCATAGAAATTAGAAAATAAAAAAGAGAGAGAAAAAAAAAGAATCAGCTAAAAATGGTGAAATACCAAAGAAAAAACCTGTATTTGCTGTGGAAGAACAAAGAGCACCTTGTTGGTGAAGATGAAGAGTCTGGCACTGGCCCTTTTGAGTTAATCTGCAAAACCTCTGTTTTTAGCAGGAAAATGGCAAAGCCCCAGTTTTTTTATCTTGTTTTTCTCTCTCTGGCCTGTTGCTACTTGTTCTTGCCATCGTTGCTTTGTAAGTTCTCCTTTTTTTCCCTTTGTTTTTTTCTCGTCACATGTTCAAGTTTCTTAACTTGTGGAAGTTTAATTGTTTATTTTGTTTGATTTTGATTTATTTATTTATTATGTTTTGTAGATTTTTTTGGCGTTAGCGGAGATGGCTTTGGGGCTGAGGCTGGTGTGAACGGTTTGCTATGTTCTTCTGTTCCTAATGGTAAGGTGGCTCTTGCTCTGTTATCTTTGTTTCTTTTTTTTTTTCATAAAAATGGTATCTTATCTATTTGGTTTTTTTTTTCTTTAAATTAAATAATATTTAAAAATTAAAAATATAGAATCAATAATGTAATACAATTTACTTATATTATTGAAAATGTTATATGAAATTAAATTATGAAAAATTACATAAAATATATTTATTGAAAATTAATACACAATTCAAACTGTGCACGTAATTGATTATAAATTACAGTATATTCATTTCAAAATAAGTGTTATTTTAAAACTTTTATTCAGAAATTCGATGTAACTACAATGTGATTCAATGGAATGTGTATCGTCTGGATTTTGCGGGCCTTTCTATTCACATACTACGGAAATTTGAATTGAATCCCAAGTCCAAGTATACAATACATTTATGATGTTTGTCCAGATAGTGAGTTTGATTGATCTTCTTACCATTTGATTTTTAATTTTAGATTAAAATATTTTTATTTTTTTGTCAATATATTATATACTAAATTTAAACCATACAACTAATAAAGATAATATTTGACTAATAATAATATTTGACTAATAGAGATAATATTTGACTAAATGGATTCTGTACAAATATTAAATTGAGTACCTTTTACTTTTTTTTTTTCAGCATCTTTGCTGTACCTTAACCATAGTTTCAGACACAAAAGACTGGAATGAAAATACCATAATTATTTTGGTTAGTTTGAATTTTGACAAATGTTTCATATTCTCTTGATTTAGGCACCTTATGTTGTGACCGAAGGAGCAGAAGATCAGACGTATGCGTAATGAAAGGCGACGTGCGAACCCACTCCCCATCTTCCTCCATCACGCTCTACGAATCCAACGGCCCGGATGATCCCATCCCCTCTAAATCCGGTGGGCCCAATTCCGGCCCGGTCCGCAGGGAGAAAATCCGGCCCTACACTCGAAAATGGGAAACCGGCGTGATGAACAAGATCGGCGAACTGGACCTCGTCGTCCGAGGAAAATCAGGCCGGGCCCACCATAAGTGTGACGTCATCCACGATGTCCCGGCCGTGTTCTTCTCTACCGGAGGGTACACGGGTAATCTCTACCACGAGTTCAACGATGGGATTGTGCCTTTATACATCACCTCCCAAAAGTTCGACAAGAGGGTCGTTTTCGTCATTCTCGAGTACCACGATTGGTGGATCATGAAGTACGGCGACGTTCTCTCTCAACTCTCCGATTTCCCGCCGGTCGATTTCAACGGCGACAAACGAGTCCATTGCTTCCCGGAGGCCGTCGTCGGTTTACGGATCCACGACGAGCTCACGATCGACCCTCTCAAAATGGAAGGCAATAAAACGATCGTCGACTTTCACGAGCTTCTGGGCCGGGCCTATTGGCCGCGCATCAAGGGTTTGATCGACCACGAGGCCCGGTCAAAGTCAAACACTTCGGTCAACTCGAAAGTAGAAACCCGTGATTTGACCAAACCGAAACTCGTGATTATTTCTAGAAACGGGTCGAGGGCAATCATGAACGAGGGCGAGTTGGTTCGGGCCGCGGAGGATATCGGGTTTAAAGTCGAGGTCATCCGGCCCGTAAGGACGACCGAGCTTGCAAAGACTTTTCGGGCCCTTAACTCATGCGACGTTGTGGTTGGGGTCCATGGGGCCGCCATGGCCCACTTCCTCTTCATGAACCCGGGCTCGGTTTTTATACAAGTCGTGCCATTGGGTACGGATTGGGCTGCGGATAATTGTTACGCTGGGCCTACCGTGAAATTTGGTTTGAAGTACATTGGGTATAAGATCCACCCAAAAGAGAGCTCGTTGTACGATGAGTATAGTGAGAAAGACCCGGTTTTGAACGACCCGGAGAGCATTAACAGTAAAGGGTGGGAGTATACGAAGAGGATCTACTTAAACGGTCAAACCGTGAGGTTGGACCTTAGGAGGTTCGGGAAAAGGTTGCTTCGTGCGTATTATTACGCGTTGGCTCGGAAGAGCGGACGACATTTAGGTCGTCATTTAGGTTGAAGTAAATTTTCATCTTTTTTTTTTCTAATTTTTTTGTTGTTGCAGAAAAAAAAAAGGAAAAGAAAATGATAAAATATACAAATGAATAAGAATTTATGTAGATTAATGTTGTGAATGATTGCAGATAACTTCTTTGAATTTTGTACTATAGAGGATGTTTGCTTGTTTGGCCATATATATATATAAAGGGATAATTACGTTAATTATAGAAATAGTCAAATATCTTTGAATATCACATATTAATAATTTTATCCTTCTCCATACTATTTCAAACCTACATCTTGGTATGATGTGTCAATTTATGGTGTTTCGTAATCTTATATATTCTAATCTTACCTCAATTATGAATTATGATATTGTGAACTTGGACTATGAACACATGCATTTATCTAAGCTTTTATTTATTGTGCAGATGACAATGGAAATAGAAATGCTGGGACAACACCTCTTCAGGATCGGGCCTCGACAAAACGTTGGAGTTAGGATGATGACCTTTTAGTAGCTAGGCTTACCTGAAATGTTGGTGTTCTTCTTTTTCTTTATCGAGTGCGTCCACTTGAAGCACCCAACGAGAGAGGTAAAACGAGTTCTTGATTTTGTTGATTGATGCATGGAGATCGCTATACGAAGTGTTTTTTTATGTAAAAACTGTACTTCAATCTTTAGAATAATATTTATAAAAGTAACAATTTTCTACATTTTATTCCTTTTGATTATGAAATANAAAAAAAAAAAAAAAGGATATTCTCTACTCAGCTTGTTGATGTTCCTCATGGATTCTATGCTCCTAGCAAGCCCCTGAACAGTGAGTACAATGTGCTTTAATTATGTGTATTAGAGTAATCAAGGACTCAATATTTGATTTAATATAATAGCCTCATGTCAATAGATTTAACTTTTAAGAGACTGGGTTGAATTGTTTTCTTGTACAAATCCACACCGGATAGATGCTCATGCCCATCAACAGGACTGTTTGAAAATTAAGTGGAATCTAAATTAATTAATTAAATGATTTCTTGGCCATGTGACTATTGCTCAAAATGACCAATTAGGTATAACAGGCTATAATTTATATCAAAATTGAATTTTATTTATTATAAAGGAGAAATAAATTAATGATTGGATGTAGAAATTTAGTCAGCAACGTTGAATTTAGCCATTAGAAGTATGTGTATTCAGTTTTAAATTGGTCATCTGTTGACAGATATGGCTGCTGGAATGTGAAATTTTTTACATACTTCTTTTATATATATATATATATAGTTCTAATAAGTGACCTGCATTAATATTAAGCAAATTTTACTGGATAGTACCAAAACAAAATTTGAGATCTGAGATTTCATTGGATGACTGAGATTTTATTGAAGTGTTTACCATGGGAAAATTCACCCAGTGCCCATGTTGGGCCTAAACAGTAAACTGTTGGATTAACATATAACTGCACATGTATGCGTGTGCATATGATCTGACGGTCCAGACCTTAATATGGACAAATTTTCCACTTATAATCCAATAAAATCGAATATTGTGTCACTGTAAATAATGATATTAAATATATATCAGGTTAATGGTTGGCCCGGTCTAACACAAAATTTCATGTTTATATAATTGCCAATGTTACATCATTTTCATCTTTGGAATTAGTCAACAAAAATTTCCAAAATTGTTTGAACTTTGAACAACTAGAATGGATTTATTTACAATGACATTTTTCTCTCTTATTAGCAACATTTTAGGTTTTATCTTTTTGAGAAACTTGGAAAACATCGAATTTAATGATAGGTTGATATATTCAAAACAGTTTGATATGTTAAAAAAAGTAGTGTGAAATCAAAGGAAGTGGAAGAGACTAAGAGCAAGTGCAAAAACACCATTTTTTTTTTTTGTATAGAAAATGAGGCGGGTGCCTTAAACGACTACATTACGAGTGTAGGAAACCCCTAAGATGTCGTGCTTTAACCACTGTTTCACCCCCGTTGGAGGTTCATTGAAAATGTGAAGCCCGCACGGCATGGTTGCGGCCATGGGCGCAAGATAATCGGCTGCAAAATTCTCTTCTCGATAAATATGCCGAACGTCTACTCGCCATTCCCTTGCCAACAATTCCCGAATTCCTAGAATAAGGCTACTATGTACCGCGGCTGGAAGCTCGTCCTGGAATATCACTTTCACTACACTACTATTATCGACTTCCGCTATAACCCTACGATGACCCTTGTCCCAAGCCAACTTTAATCCCTGAAATAGACCCCATAGCTCCGCACCCATTATCGAGCAAAACCCGATATTCATCACAAACCCGGAAATCCATGTGCCGCACTCGTCTCGTAGCAAACCTCCAGTCCATGCCATTCCCGATTGGTGATTTAAGGCACCATCCCAATTAATCTTGATAAAACCTGCTGGTGGCTTGGACCAGGCCAGCCACCTTTGCTCCCTACACGTTCCAGCTTCTCTAATGAATTTTGAGGCGAGGGCTGCCGAGTGGATCCCCTCAACCTTCCTTTCAATTTCCGCCACCCTACCTTGGATATTAAAGGCATAATTATCGAAAATGAAGACGTTCCTGTCCCTCCATATCTTCCACAGAATAACACCAAATACACAGCTCCAATTCTCCACATGTACCTCTAGCCTGTTACGTAAATTCTGAATAACCCATTCATGGAGTTCCAATTTGAAAAAAGAAGAATGGTACTGAGATGGAATGAGTCGACGCCATGTTAATGTAGAATGGCTACAGTCCCTAAGGCAATGGAGGATCGTCTCTTCAGTAGTTCCACATATCTCACACGCGGCACTCTCGGCAAGGTGCCTTCGGTATCTTTCTGAGTTGGTTAGTAAACGGGTTTTGAGTATCAACCAAAGGAACTGACGAATCCTCTGCGGACCGGTCCAACTCCAGACCTCTTTCCACATGCGGTTTGCAGCCCTAGAATTTTCGGTCGCCAAAGCTCCATAGGCCGACCTTGTAGTGAATCGACCATTGGATGACCAACCCCAGTACCTGACGTCTTCTCCCAGCTCTGGTGATGGTGGTGGAACCGCTGCAATACGTAGCAACATGGACGTGGGTAGAAAGGATTGAAAAATATCCCAACGCCAAACACCTGCATTATCAGCAAATAAGATTTGAAGAATTGGTTAAAAATTATACAACTATTTGTTTCCTAAATTTGTATCTAATTTGCACGGTTTTTAAATTAATTTATATTTAGAATTATTTTCATAAATAATTGACACATTTTTTGCATAAAAATTTCCAAATTTGTTACCAGAAAAGATATGATTTAAATTTTGGTAAAAAAAAATAAAAAATATGATACAAAAAAAATGAGATTCAAATTTTTCCATAAGAATCTCTAAATTTGTTACAAAAAAAATAGGATTCAGATTTTGTTACTAAATATTCACATGTGTTTTTTTAAACTTTCCATTAGTAGTAAGTCAAACATTAAATTTATTTGGTCAAACTTTATATTAATGTATTTTTTCAACAACCTCTTTATATATACTAGTACGGTACCCGTGCGATGCACGAGAGCATTTATTACCTATTTGTTTTTTAAAAGGTATTTTTGTATTTAAATTGTCTCATGGCATTAAAAATATCATGAAAATGAAAATTTATATGTCATTAACACTTCCTTATGTACAACATTATTGGTTTGATTCATTGACACGTAAAATACTACATAGGTGTTCGAATTTTATCTAAAATTGTATATTATTAGTTATTACTTGACAATTTTTAAAAAAAACTAAAGGATCTTATTAATTAAACTAATTATAGTAGAAAAAAAGTAGGAATTTTTTAGGGATTTTTACCCATTATTTATTTTAAATCTAATTCTAAATTTCAATTAAGAAAAATTAAAAAGAATCATTAATACTCCTGAAAATAAAACCGATTTTCCTACCAATAAACCGATTTTTTTATCAAACAAATTGATCCGAATATTTTTTAAACTAAACAAAAAAATCATCAATTTTTCCTTAAAATGCAATCGAATTTTTCTAATACTGCACCGATTTTTTTATCAACCAAATTGAATTGAAAATAATTTGAATAAAAAATTGAAACAATTTGTTAATGTTTATGTAACTGTCTCTTTCCTAAAGAAAATGATATGAACTTAACCAAAAAAAATGATATGAACTACCAAAATCTCGGTAAAACATGGTTAAGAAGAAACATAAGAACTCCAAAAAAATCAATGCATTTAAATTTTGAAAAGTTGCACACAATTTTTCCTAAATAATTGGATAAGGTGACTTTAAATATCAAAGACAAACCGTTTTTGTCATCAAAAAATGTGAACACAATTTTCAATATACATCCCGTCCAAATATCAATTTTATTCTAAAATAAAATTTGCACGTGGTTTTATCCAATTTACACACTTTTTTTAAAGAAAAAATTATTCAATAAGATTGGAAGAATTGGTTAAGAATTGGACTATTTGTTTCCTAAAATTGTATCCAATTTGTACGGTTTTTAAGTTAATTTGTATTTAGAATTGTTTTCATAAATAATTGACACATTTTTTGTATAAGAATCTCCAAATTTGTTACCAAAAAATATATGATTTAAATTTTGGTTAAAAAAGTAACATATGATACGAAAAAAATGGGATTCAAATTTTTCCATAAGAATCTCCAAATTAGTCACAAAAAAATAGGATTCGGATTTTGTTACTAAAGTTTCACATGCATTTTTTCAAACTTTCCATTAATAGTAAGTCAAACATTATATTTATTTGGTCAAACTTTTTATTAATTTATTTTTCTAACAACCTCTTTATATATATATACAGATATAGATATAGATATATAGATATAGATATAGATTTGAAAATTTTCTATACACCTTTATTTCATTTGTGTTATTTTTTTATTGAAGTAATTACAGGACATTATCGTGTATATGTGTCATTATTATCCTAAAACATAAAATAGAATAGAAAGGTGTATTGGAAAATCTCGTTTCGCATGGCAAAAAACATTTTATCTTATATTTATTGTTTGTAAAAGTTATAATAGGCATGGATAAAAATCAATTTGCATTGAATATTCTGAAACTATTAGGATATATAAATTATAAAGCACCATAAATCGAGACATAGAATTAACAAGATTGTAGGACTGAAAGTGACATTCAAAGATCATTGACTTTTTTCTCAATTAACCCAATTATATCCCTTTAAAGATATCTTGGCCAAACAAGCAAACATCCTCTGTAGTACAGTTCAAAGAAGTTGACGTTTTCAAGCCGCATTTGAAGCATGTATGCACATGTTATCTGCAATTATGCACACCATTAATCTACATAAATTCTTATTCATTTGTATATTTTGTCTATTTTTTTTTCAAGTCCTCCAACATTGTACAGATCAAACACACTACTAATCTCTTGCAACTTCTCCTTCCTTCTGCAGTTACTATGTTACAACAACAACAACAAAAAAAAGTAAAAAAAAAAAACGATGAAAATTTACTGCAAACCGTGACCCAAATGCCGGCCGTTCTTCCGAGCCAACACGTAATAATACGCACGAAGCAACCTTTTCCCAAACCTCCTAAGGTCCAACCTCACGGTTTGACGGTCTAAGTAGATCCTCTTCGTATACTCCCACCCTTTACTGTTGATGCTATCCGGGTCGCTCAAAACCGGGTCTTTCTCACTGTACTCGTCGTACAATGAGCTCTCCTTCGGGTGGATCTTATACCCAATGTACTTCAAACCAAATTTCGTGGCGGGCCCAGAGTAATAATTCTCCGCAGCCCAATCCGTACCCAATGGCACGACTTGTATAAAAACCGAGCCCGGGTTCATGAAGAGGAAGTGGGCCATGGCGGCCCCATGGACCCCAACCACAACGTCGCATGAGTTAAGGGCCCGAAAAGTCTTTGCAAGCTCGGTCGTCTTTACGGGCCGGATGACCTCGACTTCGAACCCGATATCCTCCGCGGCCCGAACCAACTCGCCCTCGTTCGTGATTGCCCTCGACCCGTTTCTTGAAACAATCACGAGTTTCGGTTTGGTCAAATCACGGGTTTCTACTTTCGTCGCCAGCGTGTTGACCGACGTGTTTGACTTTGACCGGGCCTCGCGCTCCTCGTCTTCGATCAAACCCTTGATGCGCGGCCAATAGGCCCGGCCGAGAAGCTCGTGAAAATCGACGATCGTTTTATTGCCTTCGATTTTGAGAGGGTCGATCGTGAGCTCGTCGTGGATTCGTAAACCGACGACGGCCTCCGGGAAGCAATGGACTCGTTTGTCGCCATAAAAATCGACCGGCGGGAAATCGGAGAGCTGAGAGAGAATGTCGCCGTACTTCGTGATCCACCAATTGTGGTACTCGAGAATGACGAAAACGACCCTCTTGTCGAACTTTTGGGAGGTGATGTATAAAGGCACAATCCCATCGTTGAACTCGTGGTAGAGATTACCGGTGTACCCTCCGGTAGAGAAGAACACGGCCGGGACATCGTGGATGACGTCACACTTATGGTGGGCCCGGCCCGATTTTCTTCGGACGACGAGGTCCAATTCGCCGACCGTGTCCATCACGCTGGTTTCCCATTTTCGAGTGTAGGGCCGGATTTTCTCCCTGCGGATTGGGCCGGATTCGGGCCCACCGGATTTGGAGGGGATGGGATCATCGGGGCCGTTGGATTCGTAGAGAGTGATGGAGGAAGATGGGGAGTGGGTTCGCACGTCGCCTTTCATTATGCATACGTCTGTTCTTATGCTCGTTCGGTCACAACAGATGGTGCCTAAATCAAGAGAACACGAATCATTTGTCAAAATTCAAACTAACCAAATTAATTATGGTATTCCAGTTTTTTGAGTATGAAATTTAAGGTTATGGTACAGCAAAGAAGCTCGAAAAAAAAAGAGTAAAAGGTAGTCAACAGTATAATAGTGTTGTTAGCCTGACGAAACACAATAATCACTGCTAAATCAATAAACAACTTTTTCTAGCCCAAAATTGAAATCAGCCAAAAATGCAAAAGATTGAGAGGAGGAAAGAAAGTGGTGGGACTCAAGAACACACACAAATCTGATAGATTGGTATTATCAGTGATCATTCGATTGCTCCGTAACAAAACCGGTCAGTCGGTCACCATCTCAAAGTAGAAACTTTCATAAAAGCAAGTGGAGAATTAAATCAAACCTACTTATTTCATTCAAAGTA